TACTGTATTGTTAATTAATTATGATTGCGTAATGGGGTTTTTTACTTTAACTTTCCTTGAAATTAAAATTTTTTATAAATTGTAAAACAAGATTATTGCTGAAAACTAAAAAAAATTTTCAGTCATTAGAATTAATTTTTTTTTAAATTTCATTGGCCCTAAATTAACCCTTCTATTACACAGTTTGGTTTTCAAATTAATAAATCATTCAGCTTTTATTGTTCATTTTTCAAATATTTTCCCCATATATCTAGTCTTAAATAAAGATGCTGGTGAGTGCTGGTGGGGGCTTTTGATCTAGAATCTGTGCTAAAATTCTCTAAATTCAGTAAATGCCTTCAACAATCCCCCCCTCCCTCTCCCCTCCGGCGAGGGAATAATCCCTATTAGTTTAGTGCTCCCCCATGATAAATAATTCCTTACCTTACAGATAGGGATCCCCGGGTGTTGCGCGTGTCTTAATTTCATCTTGTCGGTATTACATACCATTCTTGTACACTACTTACTACTACTACTACTACCACCACCTCTTCCTGCCTTTATAGCCGTCCTGCTCCACTTCTGGTTAGTGTGGCTTTGTCAATGGTCCAAGTCGGACCGAAACGTCGTCGTAAGCTTCTCTTTTATGTGCAGGTTATTTGTGTATCGTTCCAGTCACGGTATTGTGCCTATTTTGTTATTTATTCCTTACCTTCCCCCACTCCTCTAAGTCTCCCCTTTTCCCTGTCTTCAAACACTTCCTTCACCGCTCGAATGAACTCCCTTCCCCCACCAATACTCTCCCTCTCCAACACACTTTTTCTTCTCCTCCAATCACCTACCTTCCCATTCCCACCTTCCCCATCCTCCACTGCCCATTTTCAAACTCACTGAGAACGAGAATAATTTCTCTGTGACGTAGTCTTTACAGAGAGAGTTTCAAATGAGAAGTAGAACTTGTAACTTCTCCAGCAACTCGTAGCACAAAGAGGTGGTTGTCTCTGGAGCACTTCAGAGGTCCACACTTTCCATACACGTCTACCTGTGACATACAGGTTACATAAGCATATAATAAGCATAATTGAGAGAGAAAGCAAACTCGCCATTGGTTACAGGGTTTTAATAATTATAATTCTGACAAGAAATTTTTATGAACGGCCGCTGAGTTGGACCCTATCACACGTCTTTTTAAGAAGTATCGCTCGACTTCATGAACGAATGGGGGTTAATTTTCTCTCTTGTTCCTCCTAAGTCTTCTCCCAAAATGCTGAAAATTCTTAAATAAACGAATGCAACAATCCAAGTGAGGATGTGTCCGGTCTGTCGAGCCAGTATGCTATCCCTGTGCTTCAGCGTCTCTGCATCATAAAAAGTCAAAAGCTTTTCCCAACCATAATCCTGGTAATTCGGACTCTTTTTTTCGGCAAGTTCCCTGACTTCAACTCTCTGACACAACAATTCTTATTTAAACAATGCTTTACCCTCAGCAGATAAGAGTGTTGAGAGTGGGGGGGGGGGCGTGTTAAACTGAAGCTTGTCCACTCACCGGGATGAACTTCTTCATGAAGTTGACCAACTTCTCTCTTCTCGAGTGAGTGAAGCAGTTGGAGACGAACCAGGCAGCCATTTTCGTTTTTCCGGCGGCGTAGTTCTTCTTGGGTTCCTCCGTAGTTGATGATGACAGTGGTGATGGTGACGGTGTCAGAGGTGACGAAGAGAGCGCGTTAGCACGCCCGTACCTGTCAATCCAAGATGGCGCTGCTCAAGAGAATGGCAATAATAATTATTATCATAATATCATAATTATGTTGAAACAATATATTTAATGATGTCTGTCAATCATGAGTACTTTTTCTCTTATTTATCCTCGTCGTCTTTGTGACTTAGTGTATTTTGCTTGATATGTTGCTTCCATCTCTTAACATTTCTATGTAATAAGCTGTGCAATGAATTCAGCTTCGTTATCAGCGAGTATAAACACAGATTCAGAATTATAGATCAAGCACTATACTTCATCCCCGCTTATACATGCCTAATTATTCTTAATATATTCAGAGGAAAGAGCTCTCTAAACCAGTAGGGGTCATTCAGCACCGGAAGAATATTGTGATTACCAAATTTTATTCTTTTCATTCCTAGCAATTTATGTCTCAATTTAGATCAAAGGAAACACATGAACACTATTTCATCACTGTATGTCAAGTGTAAACTACCGATAGTGTTGGTGTCTATAGTCAAGAGTTCACTGATACTCGCGTCTTAAAACTGTGTTAACCTTTGTGGGGTCCATTGTTCTTAAAATATTCATCTACCCCTCTCTCATTTTCATTATCCTTCCCATTCTTATTTCCACGATCTCACCTCTATTTTTCTCCTTTCATGGAGAAAAAATAGGTACAGGAAGCTGATGAACAGAAACAGCTAAATATCAGTTCCATATGTAGTGCTCTGCAACAATTAGGTACATATAACGCAGATCACATTGTATAAACATAACGTCAAAAATGTTTTTGCTAAAGTAAGTTCACCAAAATGATGAAATGCATTCCCCGTTATTCATTCAACAGTAGCCTTGCTAGAAGTGCTTAGATATTTCAACTCAAATGACTCTCTGAACTGCAACATTCCCGCTCCTCCTTCAAAGTGGTGGCCCTGTACGTTCCCCTCCTTCTGTAAATGCTACCCTGTTAACACTCCAACAGTACGTCAAATCCCCGCCAAAAAACACACTCCTACTTAACACGCTCATGCTTGCTTGCTTGCTGGATTCTCAGACCCCTATCATTATGAAGCTCCTTCATCTATTCCAGCCAACTCTTCCTGAGACCCCTACCCATCCTTCCATACTTATACACCCTTTTTTTTTTGTCAACATTGATATATGGCAATTATCTGTAAGACTCTGCTAACACTGTGCCAGTATAACTATGCATCTGATGACAGTCATCCAGTGACAATACAGGATTTGATGGTTACAAATGTTAAGCAAGCCATGAGGCGAAGGTATAGTGACTCACGGATAAGGTTATGTCAGAATCTCTTCTGTACGTCATGGTCCAGTTGAAGAGGCCATTATAGAGTGACGGGTTCTGGTAGACGTATGAGGCTGATTCTACCTCCCAGAACACCCACCGTTGGTGAGGAGACCTGCGAACATAGAAGTGTATGGTCAGAGCACGTGAGAGTACATGGTAAAGGTAACTAGAGTACACAGTGAGGGTACTAGACTACATGGCGAGGGCACCAGAGAGTACATGGTAAGGACACCCGAATACCTAGTAAAGACACCTGTGGGAGAATACATGCTGAAAACATCTGAGAGTAGATGGTGAGGTGACCTGAGATTCCTTGGTAAGACCTTAGGATGAATGTATGGTGAGGAGACCTTAGGATCAATACATGGTTAAGAGGCGCTAGGATGAGTATATGATGAGTAACAAAGCCTCACACAGTATATTTGTTATGTGACGTAAACGTTAGCTACTTTCACTTGCGCTGTTACAAATCCAATCTGGAGATTTAAGGTAAAAAAAAAAAAAAAAAAAAAAAAAAAGGCAAAAGATTCTAGAGCAACTAACGAAACAACTAATTATTATAATTGGCTAGTCGCAGTGTTGTTATTGACCACTACCACTTGTTCGTGGTTACAATAATATAAAATACAGCTTATTGAGGCTAGTACACCAAACGGGGAGTAGAATGAAATTAGCTCAGAGGCACTCACAACACAGTATGTCCTCGGATCACGGCAAAACACCTAGTTCTGCTGGGTGCGTGATTCTTGTAGGATTTGATGGTCCTGTGGGTTAGAACGTAATGTGGTTTTCGCTCACCATGAGGCGGGCCAAAACAACATGGGTTCAAGTCCTTGGATAGTCGCAATGTTGTTATTGATTATATATATATATATATATATATATATATAATATATATATAATATATATTTTATATATATATTATATATATATATATATATTATCTTTATAAATGGCAACGCTCATCTTGCCATATAGGACAAGTGAAAATTTGTGTATGCAATAATTTCGCGAAAATCATTCTGAACCTAACGAAAAAAATATATTTCACTGTGTTTGTTTAGTATTAAATTACTGTAAACAAATCTAAAATATATTAGTTGGGTTAGGGTAAAATAAATGTGCTTGTTATAATAAGGTTAGGTAAGTTTTCTAAGTTCCTTTTGGTGCAAAATTTAAATTTTTTACATCAACATTAATGAAAAAAATATATCTTTAAAACGTATAAGAGAAAATTTTAGAAAGGACTTAATTTAAATGAGTTCTTGCTAATTGACCAGTTTTACATATTCGGCACGATATATATATATATATATATATATATATATATATATATAATATATATAATTATATATATATATATATAATATATATATATATATTCACAGATAACCCGCACTTAGGAGACAAACTTATGACGGCGTTTCCGTCCAACTTGGACCATTAACATGCCATTTGTTAATGATCCAAGTCAGACAGAAACGTCGTCATAAGTTTCAGTCTCCTAAGAGCGGGTTATTTGTGTATTGTTCCAGCCACGGTGCTGTGACAGCCACGGTGCTGTGACAGCCACGGTGCTGTGACAGCCACGGTGCTGTGACAGCCACGGTGCTGTGACAGCCACGGTACTGTGACTGTTTATTCTTTACTCGTATATATTCTTTCGCAATGCATGATATATACATCTAAATATATAAACAGTTTGTTTCTGAGGGACCTTTTTTGTCCATGTATCATTCAGATTAATTTGCGGAGTTGTTACGTAGCATGGTTGTTAGAGTTGTAGATAAAACGAGTGTATATAGGCGCACACATACAGGCGCACACACCATACACACACATACACACACACTATACACACACACACCATACACCATACACACACACACACCATACACACACACACACACACACACACACCATACACACACACACACACACACCATACACACATACACACACACACCATACACACACACAACACACACACAACACACACACACACACACACACACACACACACATCAAGACACTGTACACCGTGTATGTCAGGCCCATACTGGAGTATGCAGCACCTGTTTGGAACCCGCACTTGATAAAGCACGTCAAGAAACTAGAGAAAGTACAAAGGTTTGCGACAAGGTTAGTTCCAGAGCTAAGGGGAATGTCCTATGAAGAAAGATTAAGGGAAATCGGCCTGACGACACTGGAGGACAGGAGGGTCAGGGGTGACATGATAACGACATATAAAATACTGCGTGGAATAGACAAGGTGGACAAAGACAGGATGTTCCAGGGAGGGGACACAGAAACAAGAGGCCACAATTGGAAGTTGAAGACACAAATGAGTCAGAGAGATATTAGGAAGTATTTCTTCAGTCATAGAGTTGTAAGGCAGTGGAATAGCCTAGAAAATGACGTAGTGGAGGCAGGAACCATACACAGTTTTAAGACGAGGTTTGATAAAGCTCATGGAGCGGGGAGAGAGAGGGCCCAGTAAGCAAACCGGTGAAGAGGCTGGGCCAGGAGCTAAGACTCGACCCCTGCAACCACAAATAGGTGAGTACAAATAGGTGAGTACACACACACACACACACACACACACATACATACATACGGTTAAAACAGTACCAAAATCACTTTAAAGCGATACAATGAAAAATAACTAAAGGATAGGACTAACGAAAGGAGGAGAAATGTTCACAGCTGATGACAAAGATATGCAAGAAACTAGTTTTTGGATTCACAAAACATTACAACAGTTCGGTTGTTAATTGTTTTTAGCATAAAATGTTATCATTATAATTAATGTGCTGCAATCATTTCCAACTTTAAGCTATCTTAATTTTTCGTCATCATTTTGCCGCTATCGTGTCTAATCTTCCTTCACTGAAGATGTTATCACAGTATACTCAGAGCAATTATAATTTTAATATTCGCATTTTGAGTACAAGTATTCTTTCAGAGAAAATTTTGCAGGAAGAGGAAATCTCCTCACTAACGAAAAAAAGGGGGTTTCAGGGTCCTTAAGCTCTCTAACCGGCAAACCTCGCCAGGATATATCCCTATATTTAAAAGAAAAAGAAAAAAGGAGACAGCGGTAAAGAAAAAAAAGTTTTAACAGAAGTGAATGAAATCTGAAAATAATGTAATATTTCAATTCACTTTGACAAAAACTGTAGTTTGTCTCGGTTTTTACAAGGATAATAATTACTTAAGTTTTCGGAGAAAAACGTGATAGGTTAAAAATGCATAAAAAATGCAATACAGCCCATTCAAAATAAAAATAGTCTTAAGATACTTGAAGCAACAATTAATACCTTATTTTTGGTAACTGAAGGGGTTCCATTGCCCTAAAGTGGAAGATGATAGCATCAAACGCCTCCACAGGCACGAAGGAGCGATTGCCAGTGACCATGCAGGTGTCTACCTCACACTCGGCCATCTGGAACGGCGCTCGACCAAAGCCGAATGACATTGCTTTCGACCCGTACCCCTGCAAATGTGTTCTTATTATTATGATAGTGTGGTGTCACTCCTGCAGATGTATTACAGTGTGGTGTCATAGCCTTGGTGTTCCTAAGACTGTTATGGTAGGATGTAAAAAACCTGGAGAGGTCCTGCAGGATATAATGGAGTGTAACAAACCTTGGTGTTCCTGCAGGAGTTATAACTCTGGAGTCCTGGAGGTATGTTATAGTGAAGCATCACAACCTTCATCACCAGTAACTTTTACAATGAGAGGTATATAAAAGTCACGGATGTAACTATAGGTAAGTATACGAAACTTCGCCCACCAGGGGCTTTATCAATTCAGATTGGGTTGGCCACTCTCTGGGGGCGAAACCTTTCCATAATAGTTACCCAACGTTGTAAAGTGTCTTTTGTACATTTATTGGCATTATATACTGTTCGTAACAGGAGAGCCGTAGTAAATTAACACTAATATTTTCCAGAGAGCCTACTAACTTCCCCCATCCCCCACATTCAGTGATGCGGTTCACCTGAACACTAGCATAAGAGAACACAGAATTCACACACTTCACGAATACAGTGAACATTTTATATTAACGATATATTTACAATATTTCTAATTCTGTTAGTGCTAATCATTTGTTGTGAAGGTATTTTACCATGACTGACATAAATTGTCACTCATTGGAATTATTCTTTGCAGACATACAGTTGTTTGCTCTTACTGCAAGCATCGACATACACTAGAGACAGATACCCTGATGATTGTATTGTTTGGAGACATAACAATTTTATTTACTCATAACATGAATACATTTTATAGATATAAATATATATATATCTTATTTGTAGATATATATATATATAAAATATATATATATATATATATATATATATATATAATATATATATATATATTAGTCTACGTCCACAGCAGGACTCGAACCTGCAAACTTTGTATCAGAGTCCACAGTACTTTACCACGGAGCCAGACGATGTTTCCTTATACCCCCGGGCATTTCAAATCTCTTTCGTTGTCCACTGCATGTGGCAGGATTCGATGAAATAATTTTCAAAACGAGCTTGGTGCCCGGGGGTATGGGGTAACATCGTCTGGCTCCGACTGGACACCCATACTTATCTTGGGTCTAGCTCAGTGGTAAAGTACTGTGGACTCTGATACAGAGTTTCAAAATACGAACTTTGAAATAATGCTCGATGTGCAATGTTCATCTTCAAATTTTCATTAAATATTCTTCCGAAGACTTTCTCCTACAATCACTTTTCCCATTAAACAGCACTTTCATTTAGGAAAGTTCACAGTCCTTACGTTGACCCAGACTAAGATCTTCTTCAGCGGGGGATTTTCAGGGTCAAGGCCGAGGTCTGCCTTTAAAAACTTTTTCGGCATTTCTTTCACATAAGGAATTTTTGGTGGGTCGAGCAGCTTACTGTCACGAGGACCTCCGCCATCTTGATTCTCCTCCCGAGGATAGGTATCAGTATTCTCCAGGTCCTTCTCTACTCCAAGGAACTCGGGTACCAGCTGGCTCCAGATTTTAGGTGATCTAGAATAATTTAATAATTATTAATAATGCAAGTTACATAAAATTTTCGTAAATCGCCATTAACATTCAAACATACATTCAGGTATCAAATAAATATTGCAACATTTCTATCTTGCTTAAGGAACAGATTATATTCCGTTATTATTAATCATTTCTGGGGATCACCGTACCGGAGAGAAAGAGTAGGAAAGATAGGGTAGTTACCCGAGTAAGACGAAATACGCGTCAAGTCATTCAAAAACATTGTTGTAGACAAACTGATGATAAAACTGTATTAACAGAATATACATTAACGGTGGTGCTCTTAAAGAAAAGGGCGGCAGAGTAAGATTATCATGGCTTTGAAGGAGAGGCAAACAATGAAGCTAATGTTGTCGACGATCAGGTCCATTAAAAGATGCTAGGCTTCCAGCGTGGCCTGGCAATCCTCTTCAGTGGGGCAGGAAGCTCTTCATGAGAAGACCACACTAAATGTTGAAAACAAGAGGGTTAAAGTGTACTGAGTCTCAGACTACTCTACAACAAAAGATTATACGGATATGGTAGCAGAAAAGTATGGCAGCAACAGTATGAAATGTACAGTACATATAATTCCTCAGCAAAAATACTAGCCGACTGCCGTAGTCTCAGTTGAAAAATAAGGGCAAGAAACACGGCAGATATCCAAATATGGAGCCATTGTTGTACACAACATTAGTATCTATGCAGTTAAAAATTATTAAGAAACAGCAAAAGCGAGTCGAACGCAAGCAAGTTTTCCAGCCAGAGTTTTGTTCTCATCAATTTATATTGTTACTGGACTAAAACAGAAGAATCATACAGTGAAGACAGGAAATGTAGACTGGCAGGTGGCCTTGTAAAGTTATAAAACTCGTCCTGGATACAGAAAACTTTAAGCCACGTGACGTCCGGTAGAAAATATCACTGACTGCCCGTGAGAGCATAAACGACAAAATCGTCACTATATAAAAAGCTCAACCTTGAAGGATAACTGACATATCCACTGTAAGGAATTAAGAATAAGTAAATGCTTAACAGATATCCCTAAAGTACTCTTCAGTCTTCAATGAAGTGCTGGAAACAAAAAATTGTTTCAGTAAAAAAAATAGTTATTATAAACCAGTTTCTAGGCTCGGTAGACGAACTAAAAAGAAAAAGTTGGACTAAGAAAGAAAAGTCTGGCAATAACTTAATGTCCTCCTTCGGGGATACCTAAATAAAACACCATAAAGTATTCCTTCAGTATAGAAGACGGAATGAAAGTACGAGACTAGAACCATTCAGATGAATAAAAAGTAAGTACAACACAGACAGGCCACGTTATCCAATAGAAAACTCAGCCTCTTCAAACTTGGCAAAGGGAAATGTAAACAATACTGTACAAGACAAGTGACATTACCTAAAGCGTCCACCATACCAAGCGCTGACGTGTTCAGGATCAATGAACTGCTGCATCTTGTCCTCGAAGATCACCACCATCATCACCATCAACACCATCAGACATCCGTACACCACCTGAGCAGCAGAATATTAGATATAGATTTTGTAACTGAGCAGAAGCCGTTTTGTTTTTCAATTTTGTATAAAAAACTCTCAAAATAAGAAAACTGATGACTGGTAAACTTCATGTGATTATAAATTACCTAAGAAAAATACTCAGTGAATGCAGCAGCTTTTATTGGAGGGAGGGGTTATTACTAATTATTTTTTAAGCATGAAAAATATCTAGAAAAAAGAAAACCGCAAGTGGTTGTTAGGAGGAAGAGGAAAACCTACACTTTGGAAAACTACTGATCAAATAAATCACTTCATGACAATGCCGCAGTTCATTATTTGAAATTCTTTTGGTTCAGTTCCCTGACCTATCTTTAAAAAAAAAAAAAAAAAAACAGGTGGTAAAGCCAGCTCCGACAAGCCAGTACGTCATCAGTGGTTCAATCACTGTCAAATTCTCTGTCAAACCCGCACACTACATTCGACTAAAAATTTTCAACAACTTCCCCCTGCAAGGGCAATCCAACCTTTACTCTATCAACTTGCAACCTTCACTCAGTAGACTGCAACTCATTAAATGACTTGCAGTGTAAAGAGGAAAGGTTGACAATTGACATTAATATCAAGTGGAAAATTATCACTCAACTTCTGGGTGTGAATATAACTTATCCCGATTTACCTCATTAATGACACTGAATCGAGGTGATGCGACATATACACACCCAGTATTACAACATCTTCAATTTATGTTGGTGTCTATATTATGTACCTCATACCCATCCTGTGGGCGGCAGTCAAAGTCTTACAGGAGAACAAATGGGTCCCGGGACGGGGCCCCAACATTTATGTCTGTTAAGCAAGTTAAAATGACAATGAACTATTTAAAAAATGCATTAATTAGAATAATAACAATGAACTTTCACAAGTTCAGTCACAAAGCACAACAACGCAATTACGTGTAGTTATAAGTTACTTAATAGACATTTACAATAGGCAGAGTGGCTAATAATATGACTCAGTTAATAAAAAACTTATATTACCTGTGAATGAGTGGTTTCTGAATTCATGAATTATTCCACCACATTAAGTGTGCAGTGTGACATGAGTTCCACTGGCAAAGTTTACATTTGTTAAATCTAAATTAGCTGGAGGTGCAGACTTCCTGTGGAACTTCTAGCTCAATCATAGCCGGGAAATAGTACATCTACGAAACTGTTGATTTTGTTGGATAAGTCATAGGCATGCAGCTCCTCCTGCTTGATAGTGTGATGGCTTATACATTGAACGCCGTCATTCTTCCTCTGTCTCAAGTTCAGTTGAAGGTCTAATAGCTGACAACTCAAGGTGAATTTTTCCATGCGTTTGAAGACCAATGTGAGAAGGAATCCGCAAAAACTGTACTCTAATGCCACTGTCTACAATTCTAACCAGCTTTTTTGACTTAAAGACACGAGCATTTCATAACTGACACTTATGGAGATGAAAGAAATTATGGATGATAGTGAAGATATCAACTTGGGATACATTGATACATTTGAGTGCAAGGAATATAGTAAACAGTTCAGTTTGAATGGCAGAAACTCAGTTGCTGTTCCAATGTGTTCCAATTTTTATACAAGAGCCATAGTTCTGCTGAACAGCTGCACAAATCGTGTTAGTGAAGAAAGCCCTCATCAGACTGTACATAATTTATGGAAGAAAGCTCTGTGTGACGAAGGCATCAATATTACTTCAAGAATCATTCTTAGCTTCCAAGCATAGGCTGCTATTGCAGCCTATGCTTGGAACCTAAGGTCCTTCGGAGGAAAATGAAGGATAATCATTTGAAAAGGGATAATTTCTTATAGTGCAGAGAAGTATCGTTGTTGCCTTACATAATATAGATCGTGTATCTGATTCATTCGGAGGTGAGTCCAGTTTTCATGATCTAATTGGAGGAATATTTACCTGCGGTGAAGAAAGTGAAAGACTTCGAATGAGTTTTACCTGAGCGTTTTAACACCAGTGAGGTTATTTCATTCAGTCACTTGACCTCTGATGTCTGAGATATCAGGTTGTTTCATGCAGTAATCCTTATGAGGATATACAGTAATCTTTACAAAGATACACAATAATAACACACTCACAGGCACTAACTGATAAGTAGACTAGAGAAGAGAAAATTATTGCTATCAAACATGCCCCATTAAAGTATATATAAAAAAATGTGTTGTGTGTGTGTGTGTGTGTGTGTGTGTGTGCGCATCACTGAAGTAGGACACAGAGGGGGATGTGTGGGACAGTGAGAAGGCAGAGGTGGGACACAGAGCAGAGGGCGGGACACAGGGGAGCGAGCAAGGATACAGGGGAGAGAACAGGACACAGGAAGAGAGCTGGACACGGGGGGTGAGGGGGTGGGACACACACAACAACGGAAGTACAGTGATAAGTTCGTTTATCCGTAAAATATTCAAGAGGAAATTCCTAACTTCCGTCAGTGACGCCCAACACTCCAGTGTGGCAGAGGTACCACTGGAGAGACAGACCAGATACTGGTTTGGGAGTGGGGAGAGTAACGACCTACAGGTGTGGGGAAGGAGACGGACGGGTTACATAGAAGGGAGGGGCAGAGAGATGGGCTACTGGGTGCGGGAGTTGGAGTGGGACAGCTAACAGGTACGAGAGGGGTAGAGGGACGGTTAACAGTTGAGTGGAAAAGGACGAGCTACAGTTTTGGGATATGATCCATAACAACAGTCATATATGCTCCCTGAAAAAAATATATAATAAGTACAAGATTATAAACCAGGCAATGAAAAGTTTAGCGATGAAATTTTCGCCTACTTCCCGAAGACCTCATGGAAACTATTTAAAAAAATAATTCTGCGCCTCAGAGGCATGCATCAAAACATTTTTTCAACAAGATTTTACACATCAGCAGTGTTTTTCTACCCTTCTCTGTATGATAGTTACACCAGTATGACCAAAGCTTACTAGATGTATTTCTGTTTATGTGGTGTACAGGAATGTCCCCCTTTTATGTCAGTGATCGTGATAGAAATAGTGCAGTGTGTGGCATAATTTTCAATTGCAATTAAATATTAGCTTTTAAGATTTGAAGCAAATCAGAAAAGGCATTAGGATATACACAGCCCTAAAGTACTTATACCTTCCACTAAAAATCACCAGCTTTCAAACCAAACTGAAAAAGGCCTGCTCCGTTATCTCAAAGCCACTATACTAAAATACAGCAGCACATAAGTTGCATTGCGAGGTTATGAGCTTAGATGTGTTGAAGTTTACCAGATGAGACACTCAAATCGTGGCATGAAAATGAGTATTTAAAGTTTTCCAATTTCTTCCATAAGAAAGACGAAGATCAATGCAAATTCTTCTTTATGTAAAACTGACCAGCTTTTAAGAATTAAATATACAAGTACTAAGCAAACAAGCATGAAAGTAATTTGTATTTGTGCTTCAGACACATAACATCCATTTTCTTGCAATAGTCCTGAGAGCACATAAAAATTGCACTGCACAGATTTAACCTAGGATAACTCAGTTATGTCAAACATCTAGGCCACAACCAGAGGGTCAGCAAATATCCTAGCAAAAATAATGATGAAGAGCCCTGGGCGACCAACACAGAAATCACTGTATTCCGCCGGACAAAAGTAACGCCAGTCAGATTGCTAGGTGTGCGTTGAATTTGAAAGTGAAGGTGTTTGAGTGTTGGAGAAGGTGGAGGAGGGGTGAGGGGGGGGGGCTTTGAGGGTAGAGGGGGTGAGAAGCTATAAGTGTGGGAAGGTGGAAGTGCTAAGAGTGTGAAGGAGAGGGAGGGGGGAGAGTGAGGAAGGAACTACTAGTGAAGGAGGTGCTACTTGGGAGAGATGGAAGACACTACCAGAGGGATGTGATTACTGACATGTAAATTAGGGCCTTGGATTTGAAAACTGGTGCCACATTTGAGATTTTTCAGCTGTCCAGCAATTACTAACAAAAATGATCATAAATCTTAATGGTAAGTCACATAGATTTTTAGTTCCTTAAAACACCACTTGCTATAAAATCTTATGTTTAATTTGTATTCCCATGAACTTTCAGTTGCCTTTGGTTTGACATGTCTCTCTCATTTCTGATACTGTTCACTTCTTATTTGTGAGAAACCTTTTTAAATTTAATATTCCCTTACTTTCCTATTATTTTCTGTGAATTCATCCATATTTTTGAACATCAAAATGGTATACAATACCGACAGGTTGGTAGGTAAGACACATAGGCAACAGTTAGGCAACTTTATTCCGAAACGTTTCGCCTACACAGTAGGCTTCTTCAGTCGAATACAGAAAGTAGGCAGGAACAGTAGAGATGTGAAGACGATGTAATCAGTCCATCACCCTTGAAGTCGTAGAATTTGAGGTTGTCAGTCCCTCAGCCTGGAGAAGTTCAGTTCCATAGTCAGGAACTATCTGAAGATCAAGCGACAGTGCGGAGACTTAAATACTGTCGGAAGGAGAGGTGCATAGTAGTAGTAGTAGTGAGAATGTAGCCACTGAGTATTCGACTGAAGAAGCCTACTGTGTAGGCGAAACGTTTCGGAATAAAGTTGCCTAACTGTTATCCATATTTTTACCTTATTGCTCATCTTATACCTCATCTTCACTTTTTTTGTATGGCTGGTGAATACTTACGACTTCGGGAGGTTTATTTTTATTGGTAAATTAATTTTCGAGTGTCTTTTCGGCTCTGTTCTTAACACAAATTTACCAGCATTCCTGACTTTCTTGCTCTGATCTCTTTGTATTTTCAGTGAATGCTCGTCATACTTTTCTATTCTTTCGTATTATACAACTTGCTATCTTTTAATCTCTGATTAAAGTAAAGGTTCTCCTTCTCACGGGGAATGAACCTTTATTCTCAGAGAACTTTTTAACAAATTTAAAATAGTTCATTTAGCTAGTCCATCTCGCATGATGTTCCACCTAATCCCAATTAAGAAACCTCTAAACACGTCTGATCCATTTTTCCTTGTTTTAAGCACCACTACAAGGTGATAGAACCTCT